ATCACAAAATTTAAAAATTTTCCGGGTGGAAAATTATACCAATCAAACACACTTAATTAACAATTCCCTGGAAAACAATTTCTAGGAAAATATTTCCCCTGTAAAACATTTTCTTTCCACCCATTTTCCACCCTTACTATCAAACGAACCCTTAGATACTCTAAAAATCACAGTGTATTCAATTAAAACTTTTTAGAAATCCTCTATAAGTCATAAGGTATTCAAATTGTCTATGATTTTCAAAGATTTGTTTTCAGAGTACTAACTTTTAAGTAAAAGGTATTAAAATAGAATTATTCTACATGTACATTGGGGTTTACACTCTGGTATACATAATTTTCAAGTGACATTTCATCGTTGACTGGTGGAAAAACAATTTCTTTACCAGATGAAATATCACTTGGGAGTTATGTACACCAGGGTGTAAACCCCGATGCACATATAGCAAAATCCATTAAAATAAAATCTCAAAAATTATCTCTCATTTATCTCAAGATTTTTGGAGACCTTCACAAAAAATAAATAAATAAATAAATAAAGTTTAATATGTATTTTTGTTTCATTCAATATTTCTTTTCTTTTTTCTTTTACGAATATTAGAGTCATGAATAAAAAAAAATTTCTACTTATTTTATTTTTCTGTCTCTCCTTTATTGTTTATCTCTATTTTTATGTACAAATTAATTTGTATTTTTTTTTTGTTATTCTTATAATTTTTTTATCTTTAAACTCGATTTTATTTGTTTGTATTCTCCTTATTTTTTTCTCTTTCTCTTTTATTTTTTATCTCTATTTTCTATGAAAAAATTAAATTGCAATTGAAGATTCATATAAGTTTTTTTTTTTTTTTTCCCTGTTTTCATCCATTTCATTATGGAAAAGATCATTTTATAATGAAATTATAAAATTTTATATAAAAAGGACTAATTTATAATGTATTGTTTACAGTTTAAAGCTATGTAAAAGAAATGTAGAAATGTTTTGTCATCCTTAGTAAATGCAGATTTGATAATTGATGGTTTTGGTTGGGCTTTAAAAAGCTATTATATGAATAAAATAAGTACTTATCAAAAAGCTCATACGCTTTAATGACCTGCTCACAAGTGCAATAAGCACATATATTTGAATTTGCTTATGAGCTTTCGGTTGTGCCAAATTACGAAAATAACCTCAAAAATGTTTTACTTGATATTGATGTGAAAGTGAAAGGTAGGTCGATAATTATGATTTAGTTCAATTCGGACTTAAAAATTAGTCAACACATACGTTAAGCAACATTTTCTGATGGATTTTTGGTTTATAAGATAATATGACCAGCTTGAAATCCAACCAAACATGTTCATAATGTATTTTACTTAAATTTGCATTTGAATCTCTACGCCACTCACAATTTGCTCGACTCTCCAAGTTTGTGTGAAAACTCTGGCCCCTAGAAATTGGGTCAGAGTGGTGAGTCCTACTGGACATGTTCTTGTTTAATTTAGATAAAAATTAGATTTTTAATAGTTTTAATCATAGTTTATGAAACGCGTGGTAGAAAAAAATTATAAATTTTGTATCATTAAAAATGAATTTGATAAAAAAATAAATATTTAAAAATAGTAAGGGGTTACATGTCTACCTAGGTGGCAACATTTATATGGAAAGTTGAAACTAGTGTGTAATCAAGTCAAAAAAATTAATATCTATTATGTTTCTGGGAGCTGGTAGCTGGAATATGAAGTAGCATTTGTTACTCGCATGCATTATTATTAATATTATTACATCAGCCTCGTGAGTTGCATAAATGTTTTCTCTAGAACATCTCTCGAGACAGGTAAACTATTAAGATGATCCTACCCTGTCTCTATGTGTGAATCCAAAATCTAAATCTTTTGTACTGTTTCCATTCCTATCTAATAGCCCACATTTCTTAAAAGTCTACTCCTCCTGGATATGCATGTAAGCCTATATGTGTATTGAGCAGCAATTGCAGACCTTATAGTTGAGTGAATTGACTATTGAGAGTAGAAAATGATAAGAAAAAAATAGGGTTGGAGCTAAACCGGCGAAAAGATTTGATTTGGATGTTTTTTTAGGCTAATTCTTTGACAGACAGTATATTCATACACTGTAGCATGTATTTGTAATGAGTTTGTACAGTGGCAGTGGATGAAAGCATTACACCAATCTGTTTCCAGTGATTCTTTCTTTAAATGTGCAACAAGCTCCTTGAAAATTTGCTGGTGTGCTTCGGGTTGTTTCCGGTTCGTTAATGATTCTTTGTGGAAGAACCATAGAGTCCATATCTACTCTATCATCAAGGGCCAAACGAATTGAATTAAAGAAAATGGTGAATAATTTCTTTAATATTATCCAATATAATCTTTCTTACTGAATTTAAATTGTTTGTAGGGCTTCTGGTACACGACATCTTCGTGGGGTATTTACTTTATTTAGAATAATTTTCTGGGATTTTTGCAGGATCCCTTTGATTCAATTCCTCAGTGGCTTGAAGTGCTTCTAGGTGAGAAGTTCTTCAATACATGTCTGGTTCACGAATATGTGAAGAAAAATGAACAGAACTCGTTTTGCTTGGACTGTTGCATTAGTCTATGCACTCACTGCTTGCCTTCTCACCAATGTCATCGTCTTCTACAGGTTTGTCTATACATTAATAATTGTCTCAAACAGGAAAAATCTTCATTCCCATGTTCTAGTTTTGGAATTTAATTTTTGAATTTTCTTAATTCAGATCAGAAGATACGTTTATCAAGATGTTTTGCGCTTGAAAGATGCAGACAAGCTGATCGATTGCTCATTTGTTCAAGTTAAGTCAAGCTTTTACATTGTCCTCCCCGTAATAGAGATTAGGCCGACGTACCATCCTAATCAAGTCTGTACTTAATTTTATTTTCTATTTAAAAAAAAATTCATATTTTTGTTGCAATTCAATGCAGTCATACACAACAAACAGTGCAAAAGTGGTGTTCTTGAACCGAAGGCCAATAACAAGGCATTTCAAAACCTCAGGCAACTTCTGTGTCATATGTGACAGAAATCTCCAAGAGCCTTACCTCTTCTGCTCTATCTCTTGCAAGGTCGATTTTGAAATTACTACAGTCGATATTGAATTTTACTTGGCAGTCTTATGACTATCTTAGAGCAATTCAGCAAAAATCTGCTAATCAAGAGCTCGATTAGTCTACTCGACTGTTGGACGATGCTCAAGTCCCTCCAATGACCAATTGATTAGGCTAATCAAGCTCTTTATTTGTCCCTTTCGGGCTAATTTTACCATTTTTTGTCATCTACAGGTACATTACATGGCCTGCAACTTAAATAAACAACACCTATCCAATCATGATGCTTTGTTACATCTTGAAGATGATCAAATGACACAAGATTCAGTTCCTGAATTGCCTATTTCGCTCAGAACTTCATCTGGTTCACGTTCAAATGATGCTACAAACTCTAAGGCGACAACTGAATCTGTAAAAAGGAAACGCAGCAACACTTTGGTTTCTCCAAATAGCCACCGGTTAATATCCTTATGTTCATCTGAAATGACATTGGCTATGAATAGGCGAAAGGGTGTGCCCCATAGGTCCCCATTATGTTAGATTTGGAAAATAGGAATGTATAATTTGTGCAAGTTCTTCTAGATATGTACCCATAAAAGACAATTCAGGATATAATATATGTATATTATATACACTGTTTTTCTTCTTCTTCTTTTTTTTTTTCCCAACTTGTAGATTTTTTTTTCTGTATTTGACTATCTGATTTTTTTTATTTGTTTTTTTAAAATTTGTGTTTCCTTTCATTTGTTGCAATTGAGGGGAGCATAAACGAACTTAGATAAAATATCTGACACATATTCATATGCAATTTTACATATAGGAAAATAATATTTCTAAAGCTTTTCCAAATCAAGTGGTCGTGGAGTATCCATTTTAGATCAGCTTCCCAATCTGCTGATCATGAATTTTAAAAAATCAATTATTTGGCAAGCACCATTGGTACTAAACCCCAGGAAATGGATGAAATTTTATTTGGCAAGCACAATTTCTACTCCAAATCAAGTGGAGTATCAAATTTTGCACACTTTATCTCACATGCTTTGCATAGAAATTCATTATTTTGAGTCTTTTGGTCCTTTTAATTACATCTAAGAGTCTAAATCGTGTAGAACAACCTTATCAAAAACATTATTTACATCGTTACCCATAATGCAAGCAACTACAAAGCTACTGAGTAAACCTTGTGTTAGGTTTTTAGTGTTGGCAATTGTGTGGACAAGACTAATTTGTAACCTGTTGTAAAAGTCAAGGACCTAGGGTGCAATTTTTACAAATTGGGTTATGTGGTCTAAGGTTCGAGCATGAAAGGAGGATAAATACGGCGCTTCATTTTCACTAGCTTCTCGAGCGACAAAAACAGAATGTATATCACCCCCCTCTTGAGCTGTAGTGCGTCACTCGCCTGTCGTTGCCCTCACTCGAGCGACATGTCGATCGAAAAAATCTTATTTTGTTGTTTTGAAGTATTTTTTTCGACCTATTCAGCCTAATTACCTTCTCTTATAAATACACAAACCTATGCACAAAAATTGAGGTGTTTGTTCATTGTGCCTCTTTACTATAATCTATTTTCTCTAATTTTTACACAACCATAGAATTGGAGAAATCATCAAATCCATTGAATCCATAAAACCTACTTCCTAAACACTTTTGGAAAGAAACTTTTTCAGTTGAACTTCAGAGGTTGCTGGAGGTTGAGAGAGATTGAACTACAAGCGCAGAAATAGCACAAGGCCTTGGAGTAGGTTCTTGGAATTCCACTTGGAATAAACAATTGCAGAGGGTTTTGGAGCAGACATTGGAGTTAACAGGAAATAGATCGGGAAGTCTAGAGGAGTTGGCCAGATAAAATCTGACTGTAACTCACTCTATATTGTCTATAGTGGAGGTAACTGGCTTGGCCCCGAAGTTTTTACCAAGTTGGGTTTCTCCGTCATCAATATTGTGTTATTTACTACTTAATCATCTAGAAACAATGAAAAGTGACTTATTGCTTTTGATCGATTAATTCTACACATAGGGTGAAAACTAAAAATGGTTAAGTAACAACCATTTGGTAACTTAAAAATCGTTAAGTTGGTAATCCGTGAACTATTAACTAGTATCAAGTGAGACACCCAATTTTTCAATTGGTATCAGTGCCCAAATTCGTTCTTTGACCCATATTATCTAGATGAGTAATTCAGTATCCGTCCCTCCATATTTTGATGGCATTAATTATGCCTATTGGAAGGTTAGGATGAAAGATTTTTTAAAAATATATGGATGAGTGAATCTAGCTTAGTTTTGTGAATGATTGGACTGCACCAAGTTCTATGGTTAATAATGAAGTAATCCCCACTCCTATTGCTAAATTGGACGAGAGCGAACTTAGATGAATGTAACTGGAATAGTAAAGTTTTACATATCATATTCATGGCAGTATCCCCAGAAGAGTTTAGGCGAGTGTCTATGTATGAGGTAGTTAAAGTGGTTTGGGATATTCTACAGACCACACATGAGGGAACTCAGGCGGTTAAGAACTCTAAGTCGCAGATGCTGACCACTAGGTTTGAAGAAATTCGGATAAAGGAAAATGAAACTTTTTATTATTTTTATGTAAGCTTATATGACATAGTGAATATTAGTTTTAACGTAGGTGAGAAAATACCTGAGTAAAAAATTGTTAGAAAAATCCTTAGATAAGGACATGAGCAATTTAGGCAAAAAATCAATGTTATTGAGGAGAGTAAGGATATAGACTCTATTAAGGTGTAAGAGCTGGTTGGATCATTCCAAACTTATGAGCTGACATTAGCTAAACCTACAAACGATAAGTCATTGGCCTTAAATACTATGAGAAATAGTCATAGAGAGTTCTCAGATTCAGACTCTCTTAATGAAGAGAAGTTAGCTTACTTTGCTAAAAAATCCGAAAATGTTTAGGAACAAAAACCTCAAGAGAAGCGTAGAAGTGGTCCTAGTAGATCTAGGAAGAGTTTTAAAACTGTGAGATGTCATAATTGTAGAGGTTTTGGCCACGTTATGAGTGAGTGTCCTAGCAGTAGAAGAAAATCTAGATAAAGCTATTAATGCTACACTCACTAATGACGAGTCTAACTCGAACAATTAGAGTGAGAAATCCACTCGTGAGGAAAGTGGAAAATATATTGCCTTTACTACTAGAATTAGAAATGAATCTCATAAGAGGAGTGAGAAGGCTGTAAACATAAGTAGTAGTGAGAATTCAGAAGAAGATTCTGATAGTGTGGGAGATATTCATGAGGCTTATGATAGAATCTATNTTATGCCTATTGGAAGGTTAGGATGGAAGATTTTTTTAAAATATATGGATGAGTGTATCTAGCTTAGTTTTGTGAATGATTGGACAACACCAAGTTCTATGGTTAATAATGAAGTAATCCCCACTCCTATTGCTAAATTGGACGAAAGCGAACTTAAATAAATGTAACTGGAATAGTAAAGTCTTACATATCATATTCATGGCAGTATCCTCGGAAGAGTTTAGGCGAGTGTCTATGTATGAGGTAGCTAAAGTGGTTTGGGATATTCTACAGACCACACATGAGGGAACTCAGGCGGTTAAGAACTCTAAGTCGCAGATGCTGACCACTAGGTTTGAAGAAATTCGGATAAAGGAAAATAAAACTTTTGATGATTTTTATGTAAGCTTATATGACATAGTGAATATTAGTTTTAACGTAGGTGAGAAAATACCTAAGTAAAAAATTGTTAGAAAAATCCTTAGATAAGGACATGAGCAATTTAGGCAAAAAATCAATGTTATTGAGGAGAGTAAGGATATAGACTCTATTAAGATGTAAGAGCTGGTTGGATCACTCCAAACTTATGAGCTGACATTAACTAAACCTACAAATGATAAGTCATTGGCCTTAAATACTATGAGAAATAGTCATAGAGAGTTCTCAGATTCAGACTCTCTTAATGAAGAGAAGTTAGCTTACTTTGCTAAAAAATTCGAAAATGTTTAGGAACAAAAACCTCAAGAGAAGCATAGAAGTGGTCCTAGTAGATCTAGGAAGAGTTTTAAAACTGTGAGATGTCATAATTGTAGAGGTTTTGGCCACGTTATGAGTGAGTATCCTAGTAGTAGAAGAAAATCTAGATAAGGCTATTAATGCTACACTCACTAATGACGAGTCTAACTCGGACAATTAGAGTGAGAAATCCACTCGTGAGGAAAGTGAAAAATATATTACCTTTACTATTAGAATTAGAAATGAATCTCATAAGAGGAGTGAGAAGGCTGTAAACATAAGTAGTAGTGAGAATTCAGAAGAAGATTCTGATAGTGTGGGAGATATTCATGAGGCTTATGATAGAATCTATGAGGAGAGTATTAAGATTATAACAAAAAATAAAACCTTAAGTATGAGAGTTATGGAACTTGATTCGAAAAACGAGAAACTCGTAGTGTACATCCAGGAATCTACCCTAAATGAGTTCAAATCCATGAATAAATCTTTAGATTCTCAGGTTAGGAATCTCACTAGTGA